AAGTGTTCTGGTCTGTGTCACAATATGGTTTTAATAAAGTTATTGAAAATCACTTGCACTATCTTTATTACGGTCAAAGATACCCAAGGCTTCACAAAGGCCCAGCTAGCATTAAACACAGCTCATGTCCTTGGTCACATTTAACATGGTTGAACAGTACCTCGACAACAGAAACTTCCTCAGTGCCATAACATTATACATGTGTGTGCATGTATAAAAGGGTAGTATGTACATTTGTTTATATATGAATAACTGAGCAGAGGAATGTGTGAAGAGAGAAACAAATGATCCAATATTATTATTATTTTTTGTTTTAATTTAATTATTGTTTTTTGACTAAGCTAAACACCTTACAATTGTATTTTTAGACAAACAGCTGGGGCTGAACTTGTATTTGAAGACATGTAGCCTAACCAATGTATCTATTGGTAACTAAAATAAATATATGCAAACAGTTACATTTCTTGCTGGTGTAAAATATGAGACCGATAAGGTGAGGAAGTAGTGTGGCTCAGTGGATTTGGGGAGCACAGGTTCAAACCCTACTGCAGTCAGCATGTCGTTGTGTCCCTGGGCAAGACACTTCACCCCAAATTGCTCCTGTGGGTATTACCCACAGTATTGAGTATGTAAGTTGCTTTGGATAAAAGCGTCTAACAAGTAACATGTAATAATGTAAAGTATGAAGTCCAAATGGGGCGACTGTAGATTCAGAAAGTACCCGGATCATCCGGGACCTTTTATTTACAGAGCATGCACACTTGAGTTTTCCTTAAGCCCCGCCTCCGATCTCGGCTCACTCAAATGAATTGAGAGAGAATATCTCTAGATTCAGCAGTTAGTGCATTTTACTAAATTTAAACCCTAATTATTTAAATAAGGGCCATGGAAGTGTTCCTGCTGAGTAGTTTATTAATCTAAAAAGGATACGCAGATTTACAGACGTCTCTTTCCCAAAATGACGTCACATGCTGTAGTACCACAGTTTGGCCACTACGACCATTCCGAAAATGAGCTTCACAGGCCCGCTCTCATCCTGGGTTATGGCTAGAAAGGATCCGTCTTGTGTAAAACTCTCGCGAGAGTTTGCAAATCACGTGGCTGAATGTTTACGTTTGGCAGGCAGCCTTTCTGTTACGATCGTTAACATCAGTGGGCCACAGCAAATGATGGTGAGAAGCTAAACTATCTATTAATTATGTCAATGACAGGGAGTGTGATTGTTGAAATAGAGTGTTAGCGGTCTTGCTGTTCAAAGAAGAATGACAACACTGAATAAAAAATAAACCATAGTGTTGGTGATCTACAGACAAGTCAACGTTGTCGCAGTAAAAGTCCCAAGATAGCTCCTGGTGCAATAAAATGTTCCCTTTCAGTGTTTTACTATTATGTCTGATGTTTCTCTATTAATATTGCTGCTGCATTCATGTGTATGTTGCATGTTACTGCTGTAGATGTGTTTCCGAGCCGCTCCGATTATAACGAGAGTTACAACGAGAACGTGACGTCATATTTACAGAATACGGATCCTTTCTAACCATAACCCTCTTCCTGGGGGTTGGGTTGAGAGCTGCTGGTTTGCGTCCAACATCACATGACTCCCAGGTCCTGTCTTCTAGTCAGCTGCAAGTAAAAGCGACAAATACACTGCCAGGTAAAGTCTATACGTTTACTATTGTCATTGTGTTGAAATACGACAATTATACAATAGATAGGATTCAATGCAAGTGTTTGTCATAAAGTTAACTTTTTTGCAGCTTGTGCAATACAAAATAATCTTAACGGTCGCGGCATGATGTATTTATCTTGATGAGTCTAAAGTCTGATTAAGGTGTGTTTTGTCCTGATTTACTTCGAGGCTGAGCTCTTTTACACAAGCAACCCCTTTATTCTTTTCGAGTTTAGTTTCTCCAGGACGATGAAGCTGATCATCCTCAATGACTACGACCAGGCGAGCGAGTGGGCTGCAAAGTACATTAGAAACAAGATTTTAATGTTCGAACCTGGCCCCGATAGATACTTCACTCTGGGGCTTCCCACAGGTGAGTAAGAACGGCCAACTCCATAAATATGTGTTCATTTGTTTCAGATTTGAGTGCTTGAGAGACAGTGTCATAGGGTTTTAAGCAGTGTTAATCGATCAATAGATAACATTTTAGGACATTATATTTCTTAATTCCTCTGTAACAACGTTAGAGAAACGACAAATAAATAAAATGCCTGTAGCCTATAAGTATAGTACTTTCAACTATTTTACTTTTGCTTTGTAACCTATTGCCTTCCTTCAGGGGGTACCCCCCTGGGTTGTTACAAGAAACTGATCGAGTACTACAAAACTGGAGAAATCTCCTTCCAGTATGTAAAAACGTTCAATATGGATGAATATGTAGGTAAGTGTACATCAGTCTTTCTACCCAAATTAAATGTGTACACATTGAGGAACTACTGAATCGTTGATTCTGCAAAATAAACTGTCACAAAATCCTGTATAGGTATTCCCAGAGATCACCCGGAGAGCTACCACTCCTTTATGTGGAATAACTTCTTCAAGCACATAGACATAAAAGCAGAGAACACCCACATCCTGGATGGCAACGTTGCGGACCTGCAAACAGAGTGTGAAGCCTTTGAGGAAAAGATTACAGCTGCTGGGGGGATCGAGCTCTTTGTCGGAGGTCAGGAGGTCACAGTGCTGTTAATGAACATACTATACACATTTCAGATTTATGCTCAATCCCATTTCCTACTCTTCTTGTCCTGCCAGGTATTGGACCAGATGGCCACATTGCCTTCAACGAGCCTGGCTCCAGTCTGGTTTCCAGGACTAGGGTGAAGACCCTGGCAAAAGACACGATCGTGGCTAATGCCCGGTTCTTTGATGGGGATCTCTCAAAGGTGCCTACAATGGCACTGACTGTGGGAGTGGGCACTGTCATGGACGCAAAAGAGGTTAGAAGCCTGGATGAATGTTAACCATCTGTCCTTTATGTGTTGTATGTATTTAGCTTCTGTTTTATGCTTTATGTTTCAGCAAAATCTTGAATAAACCAGAATTCTTAGCTGCAGTGCGTTGCTCAAAAGTCTTGATATCTTGATGCACCAAAGAAACACAATTGCAAGTTGCCTTCGCTCAGTAACAGGTCGCGTTTTCGATTTATTTTCAGGTCATGATTCTCATCACCGGGTCGCACAAGGCATTTGCTTTATACAAAGCTATAGAGGAGGGTGTGAATCACATGTGGACAGTGTCTGCGTTCCAGCAGCACCCACAGACTGTTTTTGTATGTGATGAAGATGCAACCCTGGAACTACGGGTCAAAACTGTAAAGTACTTCAAAGGTAAGACTAAATCACAAAAGGCTACAGCGCTTAAACCACTATATTTCACATTGAATAGTTAACCAACTACGTTGCATTAAGCATACATATTTACAAAACAAGCAGAAAACATGCTGGTTCTTGTTCTTACTTTAGGGATGATGCACGTGCACAACAAGCTGGTGGAGCGACCTCCCTCAGTGCCAAAGAAGAACTGAAGAGATCCTGCCCAAACTTTGTGGATTCATAAGGCATTTTTTCCAATGTAACACTCCAATGATTCTTTATATCTTCCGGCGAAGATACATTGGTGAACATCCAGCAGTGCTTGGAGTTTACCTCAACTAATCTTTGTATGAATAATCAGGTGCTATTCAAATGTGTATGTGATTCCTAAACAGGTTTGCTTCTCATTTCTTTTTAATAAAGTGTATTTCTTTGTATCTTTGTGTGTGATTTGGGATAGTCAGGGTTGTGGTTCAATGTGTTCCTCCTGTCTGGTCACATGACAGCAGGGTCTACTAATAATGTGGCCTTCAAGTGCTCCTTGTAAGTGTTTATTTTCCAGATTTGTGCTGTGAGTAATGGCTGTTCAAAACTATTTTCATTGTGTCTTTGGAGAACAGAGGAGAGTAGAGTCCTTTAGTGCCAGCAGGAAGGATATAACTAAGTACACCCCATATATTTAGGTTTTTCTATTTTGTTATAACATCCTTCTCCTATACATTTCTTTAGGCACACACTATAGTGTTCTTTATCCATCCATCATGCACACAAATAACAGCGAGCAGTCATTGGCAATGAAACCTTGGGTCTAACAGTCCCTTCAACAATGCTTATTAAATATGTATAAAAATAGAATATAACAACCCAAGAATCTAAGACATGACAGTGGAAGTATATATATATATATATATATAGGGCTAAATATGTACATAAATACAATATAAAAGAATAGACATTTTTGGTTAACAGTATTTTAAATAGATCAACTGAATGTAGACAGTAATGATTTAAATAGGCCAACTGTGATATTATATATATTTTATACAGACTGCAGTGGTGGAAAAAGTATTAAGATTCTTTACTTAAAAGTACTAATACCACACTGTAAAAATACTCAATTTCAAGTAAAAGTACTACATAGAGAATGTTACTTAATAAAAGTAAGTACGATCGGGAAATATACTTGGAGTTAAAGTACTCATTGCAGTAAAAACAAATAAAGCAAAAGCAGAAAATCATCAAAAAAAAATAATTCTGGAACTGTGAAACATTTTAACCAAAACAACCTTAAATCATATCTATTTTCTGTACAATTAAATATAATGTTGGATGGTTTAATCTATGGCAAATAATCATATTTGAAAGGTTTTCAAAATTTGAATTTATGAAGTAACTAGTAAGTAAACAAACAACATCTAAGAAAATAAGCTGTAAGAGTATATGTAAAACATATAACGATAATAAATAGAAACTATTTAGCATTACAAAATAAATGAAGTCAAGAATGCACATCACATTTCAATTTAAATATACAAAGAACCTAACAAACTTATGACAATGAATATATGACTAGAATGTGTAAATACAGCACTTTAGTAAACGTTCTTAGTTAACTTTCCACCAATCCTGACTATAGTTCACAGTGTTGTATTCAACTATAACTTGTTCATGCACAACACCTTGTAGTGGAACATTCCGCCAGCCCCTGAAGGCAGCGCCGTGCCGCGGTGAGGAGCAGCGCGAGGAGGAGAAGGAAGGAGATGGCCGACTAAAGCCAACGTTATCTCTGCTACCCCGTTGACGAGATTTCTTATTCACAACACATCTGCACAGTTGGAGTGGAAAGAGAACGTGTTAAATCTTTCGCTCCTCTCGCACAATGGCAGAACAAAACAGCAACGTCAGATACCAAGAGGTATGTATGTAGCAGTCTGCTGGCACGACAACATGTAGTTAGCTAACAGGTAAAGCGTTAGCACAGCGAAGCTAACAGCAGTCAACATTAGCCTGCTGCTGTCACTGATAGGAAAACAACCAGCTCACATTGGTTTACGGGCGAGCCTTAGCTAGTGATGATAACACATCGTATATCAAACGTCAACATGTCTCACCATGTAATGAGCTATAATAATACATTAGTCATGTAATTGTAAGCCTATGTGACCCATTTTGATTTAGCAGCTTCGTAAATGAGCATCGTTAGCTAGTGTTGGCCTGTCAGAGCAGGAATGCAGCGCAGTGTGACTTTGTCGACCATTGAACCAAAACCAGAGGTGGAAGAAATACTCCGATCGTGTACTTCAGTAAAAGTAGAAATACCAGATTGTAGGAATACTCGATCACAAGTAAAACACCTGTATTCAAAATGTTATTCGAGTAGAAGTACACAAGTATTAGCATCAAAATATACTTAGTACCAAAAGAAAAACGTACAAATTATGCAGATTGGCCCATTTTTCAATCGTATATGTTTTGATTATAATTATTGATGTGTTTATCAAGCGGTCAAAGGTGGAGCTATTTTTAATTACTTTATTTCCTGCTGGGTAGCGAATTAAATCCAGGTTTAACTAAAGTCCTGTTTAAGTGTTGATCATATTGTTTATCATTGATCTATATGCAAAGTAACTGAAGGCACTCCATACATGTAGTGGAGTAAAAGTACAATATTTACCTCTGAATTGTAGTGGAGTTGAAACAACATAAAATGGAAATACTCAGGTAAAGTACCTCAACATTGTATTCAAGTACAATACTTGAGTAAATGTACTTAGTAACTTTACACCACTGTCATACTACCTGACTGCTGGATGATCAGTAACACAAAGTCCTGTTACAGAACATGAGCTCCTTTATTGACATCAATGCAGGTGATGTGTGAGATCATGAGGGCACCGTTCATAGTTTAATTGGGGTATGTTGTTATAAAGGTGCACTAGACTCAGGTTAGTGTGTGATTAATACTGCTGGAGTAGTGCTTTGACTGAGCTAACCCTTGCTCTCAGCAGATACATGTATTATGACCACTTGTTGCACAGTATATTAATCTAGTGCACCATTCTTTGTTGTTTTCTGAGGAAATGTCCCAATGTTCTCTTAAGCATCTCCAGTGCATCTGGCTTCACTCTACTTTTGAGGTGGAGCAGGCATTAGGGCTCAAATCTTATGGTATCTTTACATTGCAAATGTAATTTATAGTGTGTGTGTGTGTGTGTATATATATATAGGCCATTGGATATCCCACTCTCCCATTGGTCTTGTCTGTTTGTCACATATTTTAATGTAAGGATGTTCCTCACATTGATGTTTAATTGCAATAGTTCACAAGTAGTCCTACTCATTGACTTACAACTTTAGTCTGAATGTAATACAAAATGCAATGAGAAATCTTGCAGCGATAATTACCACAGTATTATCCATTATGTCCCAATATATATTCTGAATGAATATTTTCATTAATAGGAGCCAACAACTTGAGGTTTCCTAGATATTGTGATTTAAGTTTGATCCTGGTTGTGTTGTCATTCCTCCAGCTGGTGAATGAGGACGAACCGGCCCAGCCTTGCCAAGAGGGGGCTGCCCAGGATTCCCCCCCACCCTACAGCAGCATCGCTGCAGCAAATGCAGGTTAGGAACTTTCCCAGCTCCATTAAACACTGCTGCAAAACGCAGAACACACACAAGTTAGAAGTGGGAGTTGTATTGAAATCCTTTCATACCACATCCACCACATAGCAAGTTGTGCATCAAAAAGCAAAGAGACTGTAGTAATTGCAACGAGAAAGGCAATCCTGACGAGTAGTTTCACCTTAATCTCTCAAAGAAGAGTCGAGTGCCCTGCATTTTAGGGCTGCTCGATGATGGCAAAAATCATAATCTCGATTATTTGGGTGAATAATTGATATCACGATTATTAAAAACGATTATCCATTTACTTTGAAAACATCCATTTATTTAAGTTTAACTCAACTGAAAAAATAATTAAAAATAATCGTTTTATTTCGATTATGTTGTTTTCATAATCGTTGCAAGACAAAATCGTAATTGCGATTAAAATAGGATTGAATTGAGCAGCCCTATTGCATTTAGCAGAAAACAATGTCACATCCTTTATTACAGCCTCAACCTATATTTGAAGATGTTTCAACAACTGCAGATACTGCTGACTACTTGAAATGCTATCAGTGCCTCAGATGTTATCTGCTCATCATGTTTTTTTATGTGACACATTATTGTGCAAAGAGAAAGCAGCCATCTATTACATCATCAAAAAAAGGTTAAATATACATTATTTCCCACAGAGATCTCAAGTAAACCAGTGCCTCTTCGCAGAATACATGTACATTATTTTCATTATCCTGCCGTAGCATTGTTAGCCTTGCTCTGAATAATGCATATCTCGTGTGCAAAGCCTTTTAGAAAGATCTGATGTTTGTAATCTCGCCTCTTAAGAGGGCAAAGGTCACGTGGTTGCGTTAGTGGGTGTAGCTTTGAGCGTTTCTCCTGTGAGTTTATTGATCTGGTTCAGTGCTGTTTGTGTTTGAAGCTCACAAAGAGCATTCTGGATGTCTGCCAAACGACCCAGATAAAAGTCTTGGCTCGTATGGGACAGAACATAAACAGTAATGGACACAGATAGTACTAATGTCTTTCTTCCTGCTGTAACTCATCCCTCCCAGGTCTGCTGCTGCTTTTCTCTCTGAAGGAAGTGAAAGTAGATGTTTGTCTGTCAGCTGCGTTACAGCCGGTATATCAGTCGGCATGGAAAAATGGCACTTCTGCAGTTAACGTCAATATTTTAAGATCAATCGATTCCATATCAGAATCAATCTTTTTTTGTTAGACAATGACTTCGTAATCTGTGATTGTGTTCTTTTATTTGTGTCTGTCTATTAGTGGAGATAACAGATATATACTAGTGTTTTATTCTGCTTATAAATATGTGTGGGAATTTTACATTGAATGGCAACTCATCTTTTATCACTTGCAACTCTACGTGTGGAGCTTAAATACTGTTATGTTAAAAAAACATACATATATATATTCTCTCAATCTAGCTTTTTTTGAGGGTGATGAAACACTTAAAATTGCAAGATTGCAAAATGGAGTTTGTTGGATGAATTTGCCAACTGACCACCACATATATTATGAATATTCATGGTACATGATCAGTCGAAAACATATCTAACTCGTATCTATACCAATAAGGTTAAACACCTTTAAAACTGCAATAGCCCAACCTACGTAAAACAATCCCTAAAGACCCCGCAATAATATATTTGTACAAAGTCAACTTCATTGCGAGTTTATTCTGATAGGAGACCTCTGCACCTGGATGAAAACCCATCTGCTTGTTTTCTCCACAGCTTTCTTTGAATACAAGGAAGATGGCAGCAGATTTCCAAACCCCCCCTCCTACAGTGTAGCCACCACCCTGCCCTCCTATGATGAAGCTGAGAGGAGCAAAGAGGAGGCCGCCATCCCCCTGGTCCCTGGCAGAGTCACGGTACACTGATCTCACATTTAGAAGTTCAGACTTATTCCTTGTCCAGTATTAATACAAACAAAACAGATTGTCGGTAAAGCGTTAGTAATATTTCTACACGTTTCTTGTTTCTCAGGAGGACGACTTCGTGGCCAGGGATGACTTTGAAGACGCTGACCAGCTGCGAATAGGAAACGACGGCATCTTCATGCTCACCTTCTTTAGTAAGAACTCTTTAACAGTTGACGTGCATTCAGTTTCCCTTTTTTATAGAGCCAACTTATAACCAGATGGTATTAAGTTATTCATATAACGACTATAATACAACTGACATCTTGGATAAAAATCTCCTTCTGTCTGTTAATCATGGTCTGAAAATGACATATTATTCCTCTTTGTTCTGTCACCAGTGGCATTCCTCTTCAACTGGATCGGCTTCTTCCTGTCGTTCTGTTTGACAACCTCAGCCGCCGGCAGGTACGGAGCCATCTCCGGCTTCGGCCTGTCCCTCATCAAATGGGTTCTCATTGTCAGGGTAAGAGCTATGTAGGGGATATTCACCAGTGTTCAGTTCAGGTGCAGGACTACTAGTTCTTATCTTCTTTACTGTACAGGGATACCCAAACTCTTAGAAGGGTCTAACGTAACCTACACACGGTTCCGTCGCGTTGACGCTTGCCGGTGGGCGTGTCTGGCCCTTGGGGTTAACGACCAATCGCATTAATCTCCCGCCCCGACACACAGAGCACGCGGTTTGATTGGCTAGCGCTTGTACTGGCATATGATTTTATTGGCTGGCGCTTCCGTCGACGCTTGAAAAGTAGAACTTTTCTCAACTTTCACCGCGAGCAACGGAGGCAAAGCGAAGCAACGGAAGTTACGGAACCTCAATTCAGTTGAGCAAAGCGTGACGTCACCCCATTCAAAGTTTGTTTGTAGCCTTTATTTAACCAGGTGAAAGCCCCTTGAGATCAAAAGATCTCTTTTTCAAGGGTGACCTGCAGCACATTAGTTACACATGTAACATAAAAACAACAGAACAACAATAAGGATGACATACAACATAATGTACAGGGTACAGTTTACAAACTCTATTCACAGTGACGGGTACCATGAGTATCAAACAACATGTCACCCAGCCGAGTTTTAAAATGATGCAGGGGAACCAAAGTGCTCAGTTTTAAACATGTGAAAGTGAATGGACGGAGATGTGTAGGATGCGTAAGAGTTTATGGATCATAGGTTGAATTTGAATCATTGCACAGCTACTAACACTCTGTGTCTTTCTTCCAGTTTTCTACCTACTTCCCTGGTTACTTTGATGGACAGTACTGGCTGTGGTGGGTGTTCCTGGCCCTGGGTAAGTGAGACAAATGATTCAACATGTTCTTACTTTAAATATCAAATCCTTTAATTTCCCACATGATGTTACTTTAAGGTGATTGTCTTATGTTGCATTGATGTGTTCTCCTGGCGCTGCAGGCTTCATGCTGTTCGTCAGAGGCTTCGTTAACTACTCCAGGGTGCGTAAGCTGGCGGACCCCGCGTACGCCACTCTGCCCCGGACAAGGGTCCTCTTCATCTATTAGAGGTGAGGGGCTCACACTTCTCCTGGTGTGTCTTCACTCTTCAGAGACATTTACATGTGCACCAAAATGATAATATTAAGGATCAGATGGGTATGATCTTGCCCAAATATCTGAACTAACCTGAGTCAATTGAGTTGCATTGTGGGTGCTGTAGTTTTTACAAGGAAAATAGTGAATAGAATAGAAAATATAATATCTGGTTCTCCTGTATTCAATTCAGATATTTTTCCGTCCATCCTTTATCCAATCAAAGATAAACTGAGCAACCTTTTTGTCTGTTTTAAATGTTTTACTGTCATATATAATTATTTTAAGAAAACATTAAGATAAAAGATCCAGTGTGAAGAATTTGTGGCATCTTGCCATTCTTAAAAGGGATTTGCAGAACCTACTGTCGCCTTAATGTAGAATAAAATAAGGAAAGGCCCTTTTTAAAGACAACAAAAACACATACAGGGGATTCTACACTATTTAAAACATAGTTATGGATATGATATTCCCTTTCTGCCAATAGATCCCTCCAGACCGTCACACTGGCACTTAAAGGGACATTTCTGTTAGGTATTTTAGCCGGTTTTAATTATTCATGACAGGAACATTTCCTCGGGGGACTGCTCAGCCTCTGGGGAGACCATGATGCAATTTAACCAAGCATTCATTTCAATTCCATGTTTTCTGGGTGTACACATGACATGATGTTAACTTAAGTAGTATTGCATAAATCTTGTCAGTCTGCATTATTAATGGGCACAAACCACAAAGTATGTCATATTAAAACAACACTGTAAGACTTGATTTGTTAATCTTTCCTTATCCTAAATCCAGGATGTTGGAAGTGGGACTGGGCGAGACCAACAGGAGCAGTCACTCTGAGAAGAGTTTACAAGTTGAAGTGAAGACACTCAGCCAGAAATCAGCCTGACGAGTCATAGATGAAGACGACCCTCCATGAAATATTCAGGAATTATATCACTTTGTTTTATTTTGTTTTGAAACTTTATTAATGGAAATGGTGAACAGTGATAGTCCCTTGATGTACTCATTAGTGGCGAATGTTAAGTGCTATTTACATCTCTGTCTGTAATGTATAAGTAATGCCTTATATCATTTGAAAGTAGCGTACGAGCATGCATCTGCCCTTAAGGTCAATACATAGGGAACGTCTCATGTTGGTGACACATGAAGCCAACAGGTTTTAATTATTACAAGGATAGATTTACCACAGCATGCAACACTGTAATCTGCACTAATTATGGTTTCATCGTGACTATTATAGGCTGTCTTTGGATAACACATACACTTAAAAAGCAAGCTCTCATTAGGCTGTAAATGCTGATGTAGCACATATTTCACTCACCTGTTGGCTTTAAGTAGTGTTGCTCTTTTGTTTAGCCAGGAGGGGGCAGTGTTGTCCGTTGCTTTTAGGAACTGTTCATTGAGGGCATCGTCATAACGAATCATACATGCTTGTGATTTAAGACACACTCAGTAGAGTTCATTAAAATTACATACATGTATCACAAGTTAGGATCTTGCCTGTTTGCTATTATGTTGACAAAAATAAGGCAAACCATCCACCTTGGAAATGGAATTTAATTTGCAAATCTGATTTTAGATGATCAAATTTCAGATTTTAAACGTGACCAAGCGAGACACGAGACGGCCAGAAAAGCCAAGCAACAAACCCTGGAGCGTTTCGGGTTGACATTGAAAGGATGCGGAGTTCTTGGTCAGTGACAGGCAGCGAGAAAGATGATTTGTATGGGCGTGCGAGCACATTTTATGGTCCATGTCCTCAAAAGGCTCATGTAACAGCCTGACATTTCCATGAGTCGTCAGTGTGACTCACTGACGACTCATTGAAAGGTCAGGCTGTTGCATGAGAATGAACATGAACGAGATGCTGACTGCATCTCGTTCATGTCGGTGGAAAAGCACAGAAGAGTGTGCTCTGGGTTTCAGCCGATAATGATCTCGCTCAGACACTTGAATCAAATCTTCTAAAAATAACTCAAATTCCATTTCCAGGTGGTGCTTTTACCTTAAGATTTAATTGATAGATGGGGAAGCTAAATCAGTTTTTCTCATTTCTTATTCTTTTTTAAAATGATTAATAGGGTGTAAGATGTTAGCTTTGTTGTGGGTATCAAACTATATCAAAGAATGTTGTATGCAGGTGCACTTTTAGAAATATAACTAATAAAACCCAGAGGGTGTTCATCATTATTTTAAATCATAGACATATAAAACAAGGCGTGACTGACGCAGTGGTTTCTGTTTGATATTCAGTAAGGAGAAGGTTTTCCAACCATTGTTGTCAGTCTAAATAGATTTTAGCCTAGTCAGTTATCGTCATACTTTTGCCATGGCTTTGACACAGACACATTTAGCTTATTTCTATGTGATGTAGAGCTACCACCTTGGGGTTTTGTTGTTATGAAACTGTACAAAGTTCGTTTAGTGTTAAATAAATGTCACTTTTAATGCGTCATTTCTGAGTTGTCTGGATTGTGTTACCCGTGGCCGTGGGAAGTAGGGGTGCTGAGGGTGCTGCAGCACCCCCTGATGGAGGACAGGGAATCTGCACGTCCACAAGATTAAATGGAAATATAACACCAACAAAAACTAATTTTCGGCCTTGATGTAACAACATTCATAATTAAGTAAAGATGACACCCTTTTTACCCCGGTTACATTTTCCATTTGCCCTGAGAGGCTCAGTGAGGTAAAGGACTCTGAGGGTTTAGATAGTTCACTTTAGTCAAGTTATCTCAGAGGGTCTCAAACGGTTTTATCACAATTTACGTAAGCACATATTTCCAAGGCACTCCTTTATAATTATTAGGATAAATAAAAACAGGTTTGAAATCATTCCAATGTATACTATAGGATATTAAACCAAAAATATCCTTTAAAACTGGAGAGATTACAAAATATGGATAAATAAATGTTAACTAGGTAAAATAAGTTATAAATGAACAACACAAATAAAGTATGTTACATTTATTTGTTATTGGCTATGGTAGATTATTGGTTATGTTTGCATACTTATTTGATTAATAAAATCACTGCTAACACTGTTACCTACTTTTATTCAGGTCATTGGTGAAAATTAAAATGTGTGCCACAAGGACAGCTTTACATCTGTAACGGTGCAGCGTGGGATCTACACATTGGAGCAGCAAAGTGTTACTGCTGGAGATACAAAATAAGTGTTTCATATTTCTTTGTGACACCTTTTCAATTGATAGATGATTCTAATCCCAAAGGGTTGATGCAGAAACATGTAAATTAGTGAGGAAGCAAAGCACATTGTTAGTAGTTTATTTATAAGACAGTTCAATCACAAGACATGATGTACATGTGCATAATAAGACACTGATAAATAGATATAGATATCTGAAGCTTGAGAATATGTTCCCAGACAGTAAGCAGATAGTTTAAAAAAACACATTCATGACTTCCAAAAATCTAACAACATTCCCAATCAACGGGTTACAATACTTTTCCTTTAAAGTAAGTGCAGTAGTTAATGAGAAAATGTGACATTTATAATAATAAAACATATATTTAATTAATTCTATATGATATACTATATTATATAAAATATAGTGTGTGGCGGGACATCATTTACGAGTATTACAATACATATGGAATATTATTGCTTAGTGTTTTTCCCATCCCATTTAATATTTTCAAATGCTGCTCACTTTGAGAACCACACATTCAGCTTTAATCAGTGATTTCATACTGGTTGATTATTACTGTTATACTGTTTGCTCTTTGCCCTGCTGCCAACTAAAAATGAACTTTTTTAAGTGGAAAAAACATGACAACATGCAGTCTTTTAGCTTTAGCTGGTTAGTATTGCATAACATTAACATTAAAATACGTTGCAGCTTCGTCTCCTTTTGAGCTTGACTTCTTAGTTGTTTTCATCAACCATTCCCACACCACTCCTTCAGGTCTGGCGCTGTTAGTGAACTAAAATGGTGGATGTTGATGAACTAAAGCCTCCTGTGGTGCAGCTTCACATTGGTTCAGGCTGAGTTGCAGTGTGTGTTGAGTGTCTTCGCTCAGTCACACAGCTGTCGGGGCAGAAAGAAGATGGCCTTCTGGCCGATGTGAGTTCTTGAACCCAGTTTAGGTTTGCCGTTCTTTTTCAGCCCAACATACCATTTCCTGTCCTGATATTTCTGAGGCATGTATGTGTTGTAGTGGTTCTCCTCCAACTTCTCCAGGAAATAACACTCATCAGTCACTGTGGGCTGAGAGATAAACACAAAAACAGCTGACAGCACTCGTGGGATCTAAATAGTTGGGCTTGAGATGGAACGTTTAAAAATGCACAGATTCATTTATAATTTACAACAGATAGCTTGGAAGAAACATCTAAGTATGCATAATTTACCTTAATATGTTATCATGACATCATCTGGTTTATTGCAGATACTCACTGAGCTGTACAATCTGCCCTCGTCGCTCATGGCCAAATATCTCCCGGCTTCTGTTCCTTGGATGACCACCACACCTCTGTCCACAGCTTTGAGCTTCAAAACAACTGAAAGGAGAACAAGTAAAAAAAATAATGTATATATATAATATGGCAACAGCTGAACTCCATGAACATGCCTCAAAAAACAAGGATCACAAAATGGCACCAACACGCATGGACACTTCATCAAAATTACATTTAAAAACAATAAAGAGCAAAATATGGGCCCACAGATTTGGATACATATTGCAATATAAACAATACATTATCACGAGATACAAAATAGAGAAGATATTGCTATAAGATGTTAACATTTCTATAAGGTATAGCATAAATGTAATACATAAGGTATATCAAAAATATAATAGAGATGGGTAGAAATGTAATATCACACAATGGTACTGTAAAAAATACATATAATTATGTTTAAAAAGTAGGAGTTAAATATAATGAGTAAGGGGAGGGGAAGGATTGGTGCCAGAAAAAGGTTTTAATGGCACGGTTTTACTGATTTTGAGGTCACATATAGGCACATAGAAACAATGAAGATTAAAAAAGCACAAGTTGCAAAACCTGAATAAAGTCTAAAGCCTCATCCATATATGTGGGAAGGTTTTTCATTATAATGACTTGTATGTTATTTTTTATATTGGCGGAAATGTGCTTCCATACAAGCTACTGGGATGTTCCTTCTTCAAACCATTACGAGGCGGTAGGTAGCCCTTTGAAGTGTGACATTTATTTCACATTTTCTCCTTAAAGGACTTTATTATATGCACTTAAAGGAAGTACATGCATCACGGTGCAGCCCTGCCCTGCATGTACAGTGCGCTGCAGTCTTACTGTGCGCGTCCCCGTCCTCCCTCTGGCCCTGCACATTCCCCTCGGGGAGGATCTGCAGGTGATGTCCGCCATTCATGCAGTACAGCCGGGTCAGCCGCCTGCAGTCCACTGCCTGCTCCTCCTCCGATACAAACATGTCCCCCTCCGCCATCCCGCTCATAGCTAACACAGCTGAGGAATCAACAGGAAGGATCTGCAGAAGTTTGTGTTTCTGAGAAGAATCAGCGGGCTCGCTCCCCTGCAGCGGTCAGGTGTTTACATGCACGTGAGCGAGCGTAGAGGCAGCGGGGTGCGCGTGCCCGGTCCCCATACAACCGTGATGATTTAGTGTGATCATCACTGACACTGAAAGTTTAGTTATGTTACTTTCTTTAATAGATACTTAATTGGATAACATGTATATTATTGTCCCAAAGGGAAATCTTTCCTGAGCATTATTACATACAAATGCATCCAACTTTAAACAATGGCCTACATTATCTTTTGCATTATAGTCCCAAAGACTTGAAGTCACCACGTCGTGCGACCTGGTGACTTCAAATGCAGCATTGTATTACTAGTGGACAAGTAGAACACCTCTTAAAAGTCAGCTGTTGGCCTACATATCATGTGACCTAACGACTCAAAGGCAATGCAGCATTGCTAAATGGCAGTGGCGAGCCGTGACTTTTATACCTAGGCCCTCTGACCCCCCTTCCCTCGAAAAAAAAAGAAGAGATATTACGTCTCAACGTAGACTTCAGCGGAATATCAAAACAGTGGTCCGGGGTGCAAAACGCATCAATGACAACGACCCTCTACCACACAAAACAACATCATTTATATAAACACCTATCATGACAGAGCACCCACAGCCAACCAATTACAAATGAATTAAGTCGGCACGGCGGCCCGCATTGAAAATGACTTAGGCCTACCTTTGATGATCAAATCACTTAAACACAAAGTCCATCCTCCTGTCCTTTTGGATGAAGCACTTGCGGGTCATTCAGCTGATCTTTTGCCACTCCAGTTTATCATTGTAACTACTCGGTTAATAATTTAGCAACGATGTCATCACTATCACTGAAGTGAGCCATCATGAACGAACTTATGCTAATCATAAATCTATCGTTTAGATTTATGATTCAAAAATAATAAAAGTAGGATAGACATGTGGATATTATCCGGCTGAACACAACGTGCATTTATCTAACAGGTTCGTTTTCCACAGACCTTATTTCGAGCTATTTTCCAAAATCCTATGGAGAAATCCCATTGCTTTCTGTCGAGGGAATCCGAGCGCAGCTTACTTCCGGGTTTTAGGACGCGTCACTGCACCACTTGCATAGACCATTATACATCCTACATACTTATTATACATCCATGCATAGACCTCACAGCGGGCGGAACCTGTCATAAAGTCCACGAAAATAAAGCCCGCCCATTTAGAGGGAAGATATGATTGGTCAATTGTACTGTCATTTGACATTACTCTCTCATTGAGTTACTAAAGCGGGCCCTGTGTGAATGTACAGAGGGACCAACAAGCCCTCCCGTCTTCACATAACTCGCAGAGACGGCATTTAACCATTCACAATCCAACAGAAACTGAACAGGCAGATTCGAAGGATTTATTTCTTTGGAAATATTATTTTAAATAAAATTAAATCAAGTTATTTTGGTAAAATTAATGAAAAATGTAACAACAAAAAAATAATAATTTTTTTTAAATTTTTTTTTTTAATGTTTTCAAATATTATTTTTTAGAATATCTTAGGCCCTCACAGAGGGCCTAGAGGGCCCTGACGGCTCGCCACTGCTAAATGGAAAAGTAAGGGTTTATTGGATTTTATTTTTATAGGAATATTTTAATAAATGAAAAAATTAGCAGTTTATTTGAAATCTTGAATAGCTTAAATATCGTGTGACCCAGCGACCGTATACATTTAGCTTTGCCAATTCAAATGATTATGAACCAGTTGTCAAAAGTGTATTTATTTGATGAACAAGTGCGTACTGTAGCAACAAAAGTATGAAAAGTGGATGTATAGGCATGTACACACAGACACAGACGTACAGTTTGACCTTTAATCAATGGAGGACAAGATCAACAGGAGACACACTACAGGAGAAATAATACAGAGGGGTTGGTATAGAAAAACTATTATTTGGAGACAAATACACCACGTTTTCTTTACAATGGATTATATGTACATATTCAAATTTTTAAGCAGAACAAAGTTTATTTTTAGAGAAAGCACATACCAGTGAAACATGTTCGGCCCTTGATATTTCAGAAATGTCTGCATATGCTTTATACAAAATAGATTTTCAAACAATATTTGGGTAGTGCAAATTTCTTTTTTTAGATTCACGCTGGTTGATTACTTTCACAAACAGTTTGTGTGAAAAGACTGAATCCTATCCTATTCACAGTATTACACAATTTGACCAAAGCTGTCACGTAAGAGTAAAAAGATGTGTGTTTAAAAAAAACAAACAACGAACTGTACATTTGTTTTCTAGTAGCTACATAGTTTAAACCGACACGTGTTGAATTTGTCTGTGTTTGCTTTGGTCACCTTGTAGTCAAACAAAAAATAGGCTTTGTGTTCAGTCCGTGTAGACTTATTATTGACAAAGTGTATTATTTCCTGAAAGTCTGACCTGCAGAGATATTGTTAAATGTGAATCTCCTGTATGCAAATAGCTTATACTGGAAAAAAAGAGGAAGTGACCATATTTTGTAATGTGACCATGACAGATGAGCTGTCATTTCTATTGCATATTCAGTTGTCCTCCTCAACAATGTACTAAAAAGTAAATAAGAATACATTTTTGAGCTATGAGGCAAGTGTGCGATATACATCAGTATATATAATCCTGTTAAAATGAGCAGCAGCAGAGTTTTGGATTCACTGAATGTGAAAGTAACCCATGAGTAATCACTATGCAGTTAATGAACATGGTTTTGAATAAACATCTGAAAGAAAAATAACTAGTATATTTTTCTGAGGCGAAGTATGAAAGAGACAGTGGCAGCACCTTCTTAAAACGTTTGTAATCCTGACAACAACAAAAACACACCCTAAATCACAGAAGCAGAAACATTTTGGGATGCAGACAGACTCTTTTTGGTTCGTAAAGTCAGGAAATAAAACAACCACGCACTGTGTGAATCATTTCAACAACCTGAGCATGGGAAGCGGTTCAACATTTATAATGACTGCTTTCTTGTTTGTTGTTGGGATAATCCAGCAACAGCAAAAACTCTAGCAACAGCAACAACTATTTGACATTTTCCATTCTTAAATGAGCACTCTGTAGTCACTCAACTTACCTATTTATCCAATTATTTTAAACTGGCAGGGCATCATCTTTAATCCATCAAGAGCATTTTGTTTATAATTCAAATAAATCCCCTTTAGGGTCAACATTCATGTCAAAACCTGGATTATTTCTGTGCTTTAAAAACACACAACATGACAAACTGATCTGATTAAAATGGGTTAAAACTCCCACAACACACAAAGAAAGAGATAATGACAGACCTACGGTATTCTGTGTGATTGCAAAACACATCTGAGTGCCTTGTGTAACAAACAAAAAGTAATCGCTCATTAATGACGACCTCAATCGCAGAAGCTCATACATTTCAAACTTAAGTATAAGCTTCAATACTGGGACTCGTTTCCTGCTTTCGATGCAAACACTGACCAACTTCCAGCATCACTTAAAGACAGACAAAACAGGAGTTTGGCACTGAAAAAGTTCCCAGAGAATACAAAGGATCGATCCTGCCAGCCTCCCGGTCAGTGACGCTACACTTTCACTGGGACACGACTCTATGAGGTGACTGAGGCTTAGTGCTTTCAAACATGGGGGCTCCACTGGCTAACAGACAGACAGGTAAACATGTAGACGCACAGACATTAACACAAGGTGCCTACTGGGCGTTAGAAGAGCAGAAGGCTTAAACAGGAGGGGTCAAAGGTCAAGGAGGTTCACAGGGTGATGAATCTGCCAACGCCTGATCCATAAAGCGGCCTGGTACACAAGCCAGTTTAAAGGAATAGTTCAGCATTTGTTCTTTTTAACTTTATCGCAGGTACAACTGACCGTTTAATATGACGTTACAGCCAGGAGCTATTTAGCTTAGCATAACAACTGGGACCAGGTGGAGGGATTATATCTCTTCGCTGGCCTGGGAGCGCCTTGGGATCCCCCAGTCAGAGCTGGTTGATGTCACCAGGGAAAATAAAGTTTGGGACTCTCTGCTGGAACTGCTACCCCCGTGACCCGACCACGGATAAGCGGGAGAAGATGGATGGATGGTTAAGTGTCCGACCATCTTCCTTAGACCGAGCCAGGCCAGCGGTTTATTCACTTCCAGTCTTTATGCTAAGCTAACTGGTGTCTGACTCCAGCAACATATTTACGGCATTAATCTCCTCTACAATAAATCAAATGAATGCTTTTCAACTAATGTCAAACTATTCCTTTCACAAAATAGCAAAGCAACAATGCTAAGGCTTTTAATAATGAAATATCCAAAGTCAGATGCTCATTGCAAGCGTGGATATACTGTCGCAGAAGGATCATCAGTGGCAGAAATATGACTGCAGGTTGGTCAGTTTAAAATAAACTATAAAAAGACGTTTAAAAATGAACGACGGCTATTTCCCAACCAGTTTAAGCAACATTAGAACCACAGAAATTAGTTTGCCGATTAATAAAAAATGACATAATCTTGCAAACACAATAAAACACGCCCTCTCTTCTCTGATTGATAGACGCAAGTATCTAACACATTCCATAATTAGACTTCTGGGGCACGAGGGGGGGCTAACATAAATATGAAAGCCGGCTATTTCCTATAGAAAAAGTTGTATAACTTCCATCTAAAGTTATATAGTAAAGACTGATTCAGCAGAACAGTCTTTCTTCACAGTCTTTTAAAGCCTTAAGCTGGGTGCAAAGTGCTCAAAACACAGTTAAGGAGTTGAGTGTGCGGCAGAAGGAAGCAGGCTTAGAATATTATTTCTTAAAGATAAGGATCATTTCTACACATGGAGGATGGGCCAAGCAGCCACTTCTTAAGATAAACACAGCCGTTTAATAAAAAAGGAAACGGTATGTAACATAAAAAGTACAATCAGCATACGATGAAGGGTTACCATGTTGGGCTGAGCAGGAAGAGGACATGGCTAGGATGATATATGAAGCAAAAAGGCACATATTATTTCCCTTTTGTAAAGACGTGTGTAAACCTGGAGGAGGTCGGCCTGTGGGAGGAATCGTCTAACAACAATCCAACAGATTGTTTCTTATGTCCAAGGTATCAATAAAAGCAATGCTTTTCAGAGTTTCTCCCCATGACTGATAAACATTGACTCCTCTAACAACTTAAAGAGGAGCTCACAGTCTAAAAGCCTACGTAAGAGCATGTTGTAAATTAAGCTTTGCCCCTTCCCAGGTCACAACGATCTGGAAAATTGTATAAACTGTTACAATTTGAAAATGTAGAAAATACTATCAGAACCTGTACATAGATATTTGATCTATCGTCGCTATGGTTCTGTTTGACGGTATGAAACCTGAGACGACATGGATGTAACCCTTTATCTCTTTGTGATAATCTCCTCACATTCCTACTTGTTTTTCTCTAAACACACCTCTGGTTTCTACTCTCTCTACACAAAGTTGCATACTCCCTCCCACAGACATCATTCACTCCTCGCCTTGGATCCTCGGTCCGTACATCGTCGCTCTTCGGGGTGGGGGGTTGGGATCGGTGAGGAGGTGATGTGGAAGGGGGGGGGGGGGTTTAAGGCATTGTGTCCGTCACGGGGCATCTCCTCTTCCATCATCTCTGATGGAAGAGGAGAGGTTTGACGCTCCCGGCCTTGAATTTTGGTAGCTGGTTGCTGATGATCTCGGCGAGCATCTCCGGGAACTCCACGCTCAGGGATTTATTCACAAAGGTGTAGAAGCAGAAGCTCAGCAGCCCACCCACCATCTGCAGACACACACACAGAGGAGGGGAAAGGGTTGGAGGATTCACACAAAGACACATTCAGCGTTTGGCATTGAGAAAAAAAGGGATCTTGATATTGGCATTCAATATATCTGATCTCTTCCTCGATAGATGGTGCATACCAAATACAACCATCATCTAGAGCAGGGGTTCCCAAACCTTTCAGCCCGCAACCCCCAAAATAACTGTGCCAGAGACTGGCGACCCCCCGCCACGTAAATTGTTGGGGGACGGGGGGGGGGTCATTCTACAGATGGCCAGTCCCCCCCTGAAGAAGGTCTATGCACACGTCGTTATTAATAATAGTAATACAAAGAACAGTGTTTCCCATACATCGACATAGAAACCCCACAGATCCTCAACTCCGGTGTGTCTCACTCATTAAGGCGAGACACGGCAGGCAAAAACATCGTTGTTCATGCACTGGTCAATTTTGATATTTTGTGCTATTTTGATTCCATAACATGTTTTCTTTCAGGCTTTTGGAAGGAAAACGTACAAAATACACATTTAGGTGTTTATTTTACTATAGTTTGTCTATTTGCGTCTGTAGATTTCTCCTAAATTCACCAAAAGTTAGCATTCTAACGTAACATAAAGTACCGCGACCGCTGTGTGCACCATGTCAACAGAGGTATCGCTGGAAAGCTGTGTCTCTCCTGCACAATCTCATCGGATCCAAATATGGTCATTTCCTTTGTATCAGCAACTAATCGTGAAAGCACAAAGGGGTCTTAAACCAAGAAACGAAATCTCATTGGCTGGTGTCAATTTCTGACAACGTGATTCGTTCAGATGGGTCACGTGGTGTGCTAAAACACTTCCTGGTTAGCTTTCCGCTGGAAATTTAAATCTCAAAATGGCAAAAGAACAGTGAAAAAAACGTTCACAAAGAAGACGACAACAATTGTCACTTGCACGAAGCAAGGTTAGACAAAAAACAAGTGATCCTGAACATGAAATACCTTCACGGAGTGCGTCGAGGCGCAAGCTGTCATCCAAAGAACAGGAGGGTTTAGCTAGCGCCTCACAGCAATCTTTAAATTGTTTTCGTGAGAAAATGTCCACTTCAGTAGCACGTAGAGACACCAAACCTTCCAGTTACATTCCTATCAATATTCTGAAGGTTTTTACAGAAGGGTTTGTTCATATATCCTTCATAGCCTGAATTATATAACATGAAACAATTGATATTTTAGAGCTGTTGACAGTATTTTCTGATTTAATAAACTGAGATATCCAAAATCCCTTCTGTAAAAACTTTAGATTCTAATATGACTACAAAATGAAACAAGAATTTCGAACCTGACTTTATCCAATGTTCAGAATTGTGTTCCTGAAATGTATTAAAATATGCACATATTTAATGAGACTATGGCTCATTTGCATGGGGGGGCGGTGCGGTGCCCCTACAAATAGAATCAAATGATGTGGGAAACACTGGATAATAATTAGGGATGCACGATATTGTTTTTTTGAAACCGATACCGATAACTTCCTGCTTCTCAAGACCGATAACAACAATTTTTTTACGCCACTAATTATTTTAACGCATGTGTATTTTTTTTCCTCGGCCGCCCCGTAGTTTCAGAGCGCATCGAGTTTAAAATACCATCTACAAGCTGATGCTGACAGCCCGCTCCTGCCGCCCGCTTGTGGCAGACCACACTTCCACGCTCACCGGCAGGCACCGACTGGCTATTGGGAGGACCGGGAGGGTGTGTGTATGTGTGGCCCGAGCGAGCGAGAGAGAGACCTTACGTGCATTGTTGTTGTTAGCATCTGGTGCTAGCTAGCTGCGCTAACGGATAACAGCTGTTTAAATGAAAACAGAGGAGCGACATTTCGCCACAACTGCGCCGAGCACTTGACTTTATGCAGGAAGCCAGACAGTGGGGACATTGTACGAAAAGTCAGCACACTCAGCACGGATAGTGCGCAACATGATTGCAGCGTCCAGGCAGCTCCCGTTCGAGCATATGCCTTGAGTTGCACATAGCTCCAACGATCATACCACCGACGAGATGTTTGTTTACTGTCCTGGCTTCACGGCTGCACACCATTTACGTCACAGCCAGGCATGAGTTAGGGAGCGCTGGATTTGTGAAGAACTCCCCTCTTCCTAAACCACAGTACTGGCAAAACGGGAGGAGCCGAGTGAAAAACAAGCGCCCCTCATCTCAATCCACCCACACCGCAGTATTTTTTTCTTTTTTTTGACCCAAAAAATATATTGTATATTATCGGGGCTATTAATACTGTTATCGGGTTTATCGGGATGACGTCATAATTCCTAATATCGGACCGATAATTATCGGGCCGATAATTATCGTGCATCCCTAATAATAATAATAATTAAAACAAAAAAAATTCTTAATATTTTATTTTATTTTTTTTAATCATCTCTCGACCCCCCCTCGGGTCACTTTGGGAACCCCTGATCTAGAGCAGTGGTTCCAATCACTTGTATAAATCACCCTTAATACAAATGCATTTCAACCTCTACATTTACACTTATTGTCAGTGAAGAATAATAACATTAAGACTTCTAGCAGCTCAACATCTTTGATTAAGACTTGAGCTTGTAATGAGACACTTGAGCTCGTCTTTCTTTGATAGTTCTGGGGGCAGGACAGAAGGCTTATGAACACTTATTTTAAAATGTTTTTAAGTGTAGAAATATATTGCAATCCCTAATCTTTCTACGTACCCCCTGCAACCCCCTCCAGCACCCCTAGGGGTCCCTGTACCCCCGGTTGGGAACCTCTGATCTAAAGCCTTTTATAAATAACATTACAACTTTGTGTATAAATAAAGGACTGCTTTCCAAGAAAGCACAATGCACAGAGATCCTTGACTTACAGATACTGCAAGTCAAGGTCACTTCAAACCATGTAAATGATTCAAACTAACAGAAACGAATCGATCACAGACGGTGAATCACTGTTCAATGATTAAAAACATGATAACATGGCGTCCTGATGTCAGAGGATGTGTACCTCGTGCATGGAGTCCAGCAGCTTGGTGAGCTGGTAGAACCGCTGCCAGTTCTGGCTGGAGTTCTCCTCGCGCTTCACGATGGCTTTCCCCAGCTCCTTAATGTACGACATCCGAATATCGTCGAACACCGCCTGGCTCTTCAAGCCGTCCTTTGGCACTGCGGGAGAGAGGGGGGGAAACTAAAAGGTCAACATCTGGGACACAGATAAGAATAATGTTCTGTAAATTGCAGAGGAAGTGGGACATTCTTCAAACTTTAAGTGATCACGTCGGGGCAGTGAAGGGCGGCAAAGGGCAGCTCATTAAAATACATCGGGTCATTTTCACGCTGCATTCCTCCCAGTGATATTCAGCAGCACAGAGCGCTTACAGCTGCCAGAGCAAAAGCACCCTCGGGACGGCTGTGTTCACTTTCAGCGGGGCTAGTTATCGTATTCAATTGGTTTTTAATCTCTTTAATTATTTAGTTTTTGTTTACATCTTTAATTTCCCTGCTCTAGATGACCTTAGAGATGACACGAGGAGCAGTGGTGTATTCGTGGTGAAATTAGACCTGTTTTAGTATATCAGAGCGAGCCCTGAGAAGATTCAGTTGTTCTTTATGATAACTGCACGTCAGTCAGTGAGTTGTTAGAGACTGATGTTTGTCCTGTGCATACATCAACGTCTTCCAGCTATGGAGACAGTATTAGATTGGAGTAATACGTTTTATAATGATTGAATTAACACAGTTTATTCTGTATTTCTATTCTATTTGTATTTACTTGCACTATTTTATCTGTGTTATTGTGTTGCACTGTTGGAGGAGCCTGTGACCTAAGGTTTTCATGTACATAGCTACACTGTAGCTATGTACACATGACAATAAAAGCCTTAAAGATGGTGGAAAAGCTGCACGAAGGTGAAAAGTCGTACCTGTGCTGAGCAGCAGCAGCACCTTCATGCACAAATACTCGTCGTGGGAAACCTGCAGGCGGACGAACTCGCTGGAGATCTTCAGCATCTGCTCGCACTGGTCGGCCATGTAAGGCAGCTTCATCCGGTCCCTGGTGGAATTCAGAGAGAAACGGTTAAACAGCTCCTCGAGTCACAGTTGATGTATAACGGCTGTGTGGTCTCAATCTGGGAGATGAAGCAGCTCTCTGCAGATTAAACGCTCAAGGTCTGGCTCCAAACTATTTGTGCATCCTATTTGAAATCATTCTTCCAGAAGGTTGAGAATGCACATTTCAGATGAGCAAGCGTCTTCTCAGTGATGAAGTGATATTGTGGGTGAAAGTGGGGACAAACGGAAGTTTGTTTTAAGTTCATTCAATTCATGACAAAACACAGGGGCAGATTCATTCATCGCAGATTATTCATCCAACTACTTGGAAAGGAAATTTGCAAAAGACTTTCACCGATGTGAGAGAGATTGTTTCATAGGCTGCGATAATGAAATGCAAATAAAACAATCAAAACAGGATGAATTTAGTTTAAGGCTGGCGGACGAATAGAAAACACTTCATGTTCAGATATTAATTATGATCGTATTATCTTTCTGCTTGTGATTTTGTACAAAAAAAAGGGAACAAATCAAAAGGCCTATTACAGCCCTGAGCGTGGTGGCTGCGCCGGATGCTCACTGCACTCAGAGCGCTGTTTACAGACGAGTCATCAGCTCTATAAGAGGGACTGATTACTGACGACAGCTGACAGGCACGCTTTGATTCTGAGGAGGGATGGCACAGAGCTGCACTGATATACTTAAACACATGTATGCGTTTGCTGAATGAGGGAAAAAATCTAAATTCTAGGCTGGAAAATATCAGTGAGATTGAAATGAGGGGCAAAAAGAAAAAATCCATTCACCGGGCCAGGGATATGCATTTCCTAAATGAAACTCTTAATAATCGTAAAATACTGCCATATTTGATCTGGAGGATTTAAAAGGCATTACTGTGGTACTATTTTTGTATCAAAATAAGGTTTATTGATACGTACTCGTTGATGACGAGGTCTGGGGCGAAGCACAGCATGTTGCCGTTGCACTGCTGGTAGGATCTCCAGCCCAGGCCGAAGGACATGAGGAAGAGCCAGGAGCACTGAAGAAGAGTCATCTGGTCGTCCAGGTGCAGGTTCCTGAAGCCTGAAGGGACATCAAGAAAACAGTCTTTTTGTTTGAGAGGGTGTGGTGGTGAAAGTGGCAGAGTAAAAGATTTGGATGTGATCAACAAATGCCAGCAGGTGATACTTTGTACAAATGGTCACATATCTTGTGCAAAAGCAAGATCTAGAATACAATTAACCCATTTAAACAAAACATGATGTATTAGAGCCTTAATCTGACTCCAATCTGTTTACCAAATGTGCCTACGTGTCAAATTAGTTCCAGATGAAGCAGATCCAGATGAAGAGCAAGTGTTTGTTTACTCAATGGAGGCAGATGAGATGACACCTGTTTTGAACTCCACCCATCCATTTCAACATCTCCAGTTTTAAGCCAACATGCTTCCAACGTGTTGTGCAATGTAAAGAAAGGATGGGCCTGATATAGCAAAGAATGGGGACAGCACACACCATCAACTTGTCTCTGTGCAGTCTATACTTTTTATACATTTTTTAGATATCAAGTGCAAAACTTAAAGACAAGAGTTTACATGTGTATCTATTAGGGATCGACCGATATGGCTTTTTCAAGGCCGATACCGATTATTAGTAATCAAGGAGACCGATAATCGATATTTGGAACCGATATACATTTGCAGTAAAATCAGAAAATCTTGGTGTCAAAATGTAGAATAACACAAACTCCAACACAACTCAACACAACTTCTTTGAAATGCATTTAAGCATATATTATGTTTAATTAACTTTTAAACATCTTACAACTGGTTTCCTCTCTGTGCCCTTTTCTTTAGTGCAGCCATCTGCAATGAGTCAGAGAGAGAGACAAGAAGTGGGGCTGCAGGCTGACATGCTTAACTAACAATAATGCTTCATTTATTATATCTTACTATCTAGCATCAAATCCCAATAAGCTGCTAGCAACTGCAAAACACTAGTGCTAGCTAATGTTTTGCAAACTATTCAAAGTGAGGCTATCACAGTAGACCTAACGTTAGTCTAGTAGCCTCACTTCTAATATTTTGCTAAACATTTGCTAGATACATGTTGGCTAGCTAATGAGCTTCACATATCAACCTGAAAAACTTCCCGCGTCCCTGTGTAACTGGGAAACTGATAGAATTGGATCATAAGATCGTGGTGTTTTTGCAACTTCAGCATAGGGGATAGGGATGTTTATTGAACTTCGGTTTAACACATGTATGGCTCTGCCGCTCAGCGCTGCTGCTTGCTTCAGTCTGTGTCTGCGTTCTTTCGCACCTGCCTGTAATCTGAGAAGGTCCCGCCTCTCTGGCTCCCGCCCGGAAAATCTTCAGTAATAGCCTATCAGATAGCGCTGTGGGCGGGACATTGCTCGTGTACACAGAGTGGTGACTGCAGCCAGAGAAACGGCCGAATCAGAGCCAAAGTTTTATCGGCAATTTGATAAAAAAAGGCTGATACCGATAATCGGTCAAATGCGGAATATCGGCCAAACCGATTATCGGTCGACCCCTAGTATCTATGCCATTACAGGGAGAGAGGACTAAGTGCAACGTGGCAAATCTGTTTTCTTTTGAAACTTATTGCAACTGTAGATTAACCTCAACGTGTCACAGCCTTTGCAAATCATCAATATGAATGATTTAATCTAAATATACTGTACATCTCTACAGTCTAGTCTACACTCGTACTGGCACCACTCACCTGGCAGAGCCTTGGCCCACTTGACGGCAGAGATGACCTGCCGGCCCCCCAGCCTGTTGAGGGTGGTCATGAGGCGGGTGGAGGTGTCGGGCAGGGTGCTGTCGTAGCCGGCGAAGATGGTGTCCGGCTCGATGGCCTTCAGCAGGGACAGCATGGTGGGGACAAGTTGAGGCATGGACTTCACGGGTAAGAGGGAACGAGTCTCGATTGGAGGAGAGGGATTGAGCTCGGGAGCGTTGCTCGGCTGGGCGCCCTTTAAGCGGTTCAGCTTCTTGGTTTTTCGCGCTGCAGGGGAGAAGCGGGGACGAATATGCAATGAAGAGAAGTTGAGTAAAGAAAAAAGGTGAAGACAGGCGGTACACAGCGTGGCGGTATCTGTGTGGCTCAAAGGTTGAATTGTCATATGCACAAAGCTACAGTGGAGAAATGGCAATGAAGTTCTTCTGACCCGAGCTCCTCCAACAATGCAACATATATCATAAAATAAAAGTAGTGCAACAAGTCTATATACATGTCAATAGAATATGGGATATGTACAAGAACAGAATATGAAATTAAATAATGTAAATTAAGACAAAAGTAAATACGGTTTATTGCCTGATAACCATTTATATAAATGAGTATATTCAAGATGACAACAGCAATGTTTATCGGTGTGTACCTTCCAGGTTCATGCCAGCCATCAGACACTTGCGGAAGCGGCAGGCGGGGCAGTTCTTCCTCCTGATCTTGTCGATGATGCAGTCGTTCCTCCCAGCACACAGGTAATTATGCTGCCCTGAGGAGCGCAGGGGAGGAAGATGAATCTGTTATTTACCTTCACTGCTGTGGCAAACACTCCAGGGGGGAAACTGATGAGCGTTATCACAGTCCTTCACTTTGTGATGATCATTTATCAGCGGCGATGAATAAATCAGTGAGGATATGATGATGTGTTTGTCAGAATCACAATACCTTTGTCAGTCCCAAAGAGGGGACGTTTTGGAAAATTCACCTTTACCTTCCACTGCTCTCTTGAAGAACACCTTGCAGCTGCCACAGGTGAGGACACCGTAGTGGCAGCCTGAGGCCTCGTCAGAGCACACCAGGCAGATCTTATGAGTCCCACTTTTTGTCGAGGACTGTGCAGGGACAATTTCCTGTCTGGAGGTAGAACTGGAGAAAGAGGGAGGAGACAGAGCAGACACATGTAAGGGATATTCATTCTCTCTCAAAGGTTCCCTAGGAGCTTTTGGCCTCTAGAAGTACTGCAGAGTTCTTTTCTTATTGAGTGAGTCCCTATCTTGTGCTCATGTTCTCATTCGCCCTCACGTGTAGGTTCTTCCTGCCAATAGTTTCACACTGTTATACTGATCTGCAGGTGGTGGTCATGCCAAGATATGCAGCAATGCTCTGGCAAACACAAGACAGAATGAAACTGCTCGCTAGTAAAGGAGGTTCATAATGAAACGTTTAAACTTTAAGGAGAGGTTTTATGAGGAGAAAATGTTAAAGGAATGTGAAGGACTGCTCCACAAAAACTGTTTTTAATTAGTACATTTTACTGAGAAAAGGTTTTACTCGGAAAACAAAACAATGACTTTTACTGTCTTTGAAAAAGTGTTGCTAAAAGTTGTTTGAATGATTTTAAGTATCACAAAATAGCTGCACAGAGAGCCTATACCTACTCAGCTTGGAGGGTTTGGCTGTAGTTTAAAGTTGAATAAATAAACTACACGCTAACACTATACAATCCCATCACACTCTGTGTTCCTTGTGCCTGTTTTCCCTCAACTCTGCCTTCCTTCTCAACATGGAGTGAAGAAAAACATTTAGTCCCATTGTGTCCGTTTGGGCCTAAAGCTTAAATGATCAGACTGTGTGGTCACATCCTAAATTCAGCGGTTGTCATGAAATAGCCCTTCTTCCTTTGACTGAACCACAAACGCTTCCAGGCCCAGTCAACAGCGGTTAGATGCACTTTCCCCAAACCACCACTAGAGGACGTCAGGATTTGCAGCATCCATGCCAGAGGTCCACGCCCCCTTTCTAACTCAGTGGTCAAAGCAACAACAACAATGTCCACACTGAGAGGGTATAGAGTGTTGCAACTACTGTGTCTGTCTGTCCATGCGTCCAAAAGGCTGAGTGCAAAGACAACAAACGTATTGTCTGGTTCTGTAAGGGCTGCTCTCTGTATGCAGAAGTTCACTCTGGAGTTATACAACATGCGGGTGTTAGCATGAAAGCAGGCCAGGCCCCAGCAGTCAGTGGGTGAAGCAGGATGGGACAACCAGAGTAAGCTTTCAAGGCATCAAGTGCTGAAGCATTAAGCAGCCAGATTCAAAAAAACTATCAGTGAGACCTCAGAGGCTGTCTAACCACGAGAGGGCTGAGAGCTTTCTGAGCACTCCTGGAAACACATGGTGGTCAATAAGTCTGTCCGTTACCACTTGGATTCAATAGTGTGCTGACTACTGAGCCTTAATAGTGTATCGCACTCTGCATTGTTTCATACGGAAATGTAAAATTCCAAATCCCTGTAGTTTCGCTGGATTTGTAAAGGGGGGGGGGGGGGTAACATTAGTAGGTGGGGGGCTCACCTAACAGCTCCACTCTGCTCCAGCTGTGAGAGGTGACACAGGGGGCAGATTGAATTGAGAACACACAGCTGCTAATCCATACAAATCCACCAAACCAGCATTTTAAATATGTCCGACTGCCTGCTTTTTAAAGCAATGCCCCTGCCTGGCGCCCACGTTATTATTATTTTATCATTCTCCTGGATCTTTCATTCATATTTACGGTCAGTCACATTCTCATTTTTGTGGTTAGGATTATCTCTGTTTTGTTTTGTTGTCACAACATGTATTGCACTTCTGCCTGTCCTGGGAGATGGATCCCTCCTCTGTTGCTCTCCCGAGGTTTCTTCCACTTATTCCCCTTTAACTGTGGGGTTTCTTTGGGAGTCGTCCTTGTCCACTGCGAGGGTCTGAGGACAGCGGGTGTCGTTTGCGGTCCACACTGTAAAGCCCCCTGACAACTGTGTACCTCATGATATTGAGCTTTATAAATAATAATAATACATGTGATTTATATCACGTTATGCAAAGACTCCTAACCAAATGTTTTGAAGAAGATGTATTATGAGCCAAGATGTATCCCACAGAAGCACTGAACAATGCATGGTGTTTGCTCAATGTATCCTTTGGTACTACAACCTGAGGTGAAGGAACATTAGAAATATTTATAGCTAGCTACAATGATAATCACAGAACTGTTTTTAAGACTTGGAAATTGGATTAATCATTCTCACTAGAAGAAACAATGGCCCAACCTACGCGATTATAGACAGAAGCCACGTTAATCATTCATTCGTAAAAGTGGAACTAGGGAACATAAGATTAACAATCACATATCCCAATCCAATACATTCAAGGTTAACCTACTTTTTTAAGTTGCCTCATCATATCAATATTACAGCAATGGTCCTACAATGTAACGTTTTTTTTAACTGTCAATGTGTAAACCTGTGCAATAAACACATCACAAATGAGGGCAATATATGACTCAGGTTTCAAAACTGCACTTCAAAATCTTTATATTTGTATCCTATTGATTGTCATTGACAAATGTCTTCTCTTCCGGTGTAATTGATAACACCGTTACTGTTAATGACCTGGTGGGAAAATGTCCTCACTATAGGAGGGTTAGGGGCACGTGCAGAACATACGCAGGCCAGAAACATGACTCCCAATAAATGTCTTGTATGTGGAACATGTAAGTAGGCGACGGTTTGGAACAAGTTTGCCATAACAACTGTATAGGGTGATAATAATTAGTGGTGCACGATAATTATCGGTCCGATATTAGGAATTATGACGTCATCCCGATAAACCCGATACCAGTATTAATAGCCCCGATAATATACAATATACTTTTTGGGTAAAAAAATAAATAAAAATACTGCGGTGTGGGTGGATTGGGATGAGGGGCGCTTGTTTTTCACTCGGCTCCTCCCGTTTTGCCAGTACTGTGGTATTAGTGGTTTAGGAAGAGGGGAGTTCTTCACAAATCCAGCGCTCCCTAACTCATGCCTGGCTGTGACGTAAATGGTGTGCGGCCGTGAAGCCAGGACAGTAAACAAACATGTCGTCGGTGGTATGGGACTATTTCAAAGTTAGATAGTTCGCTTGCTATTTGTATTAACAAATGCAATGCAGAAGTTCCACAAGGAGGGAAAAAGGCAACGAGCTATAATACTTCCAACCTGATTAGTCACCTGAAACATCGCCATCGCTACGATGGTGTGTTAAAAGCGTACGAAGACGCCTGCGCTGCTAAACTAGCGGCGAATCCAAAGCCAGCTGCAAAGGCACCGGGGCTTTTACCTATCGACGAGGCTTTTTAAAAAAGGCAAGAACTTTGCCAGAGACGACCCCAGGGCTAAAACGATCTCTAACTTCATCATAGAAATGATGGCGCTTGACGAGAGTCAAAACTGTTCTTGGCTTTGTTTTGTTCGTAATGCTCATGTCATTTGCTCACTACTAGTCTTTTTTTTACCACCAGGCGTGCAAAAACTACAGGTACATTTAATATATATATATATTAGGGCCGGGACTCGATTAAAAAAATTAATCTAATTAATTAGAGGCTTTGTAATTAATTAATCGAAATTAATCGCATATACATATTTGACCTGAGAACAGTGAGAAGCAATTTTTTTTCACATGGATTTTAGTATACCATTAGGCGCATTCACACCGCAGTACTTTTCCCACAAAGGTTCATGAGAACTCTTTGAACCTGGGGATTAGGCAAATGAAGCCGCTGACGTCACTTCTTCTTCTTCTGCTTTGGGTTTACTGGCAGGCCGCAAATCACTTCACGGCGTATACTGCCACCTGAAGTCCCCGGCCGGAAGTCCCCGGAGTTGGGGACTGGCTTCAGTAGAAGCTGCTGGGAGTCCCAGCAGCTTCTACTGAAGCCTTCTGAGTAAATCGCCAGAACGCCGACACCTCCTCATCTCCACCGCTCCCATGTTTTATTTTGTGTTTTCATAAGTTAGTCTCTCTGCGTTTCTGCGCTGGGCTAATGCTAATAATGCTAATGCGAGGATAATAAAATGGCGGCTTCACAACACTTTTTGGGAGTTTTACGGGGCGTGGTTTGCAATCCGCCCAGCCAATCAGAAATATAGCTCTTTTCTCACAAGAGAGCCGTACGAAAGTCCCTGCTCTCTAGCAGCTCTCTGCTCTCTAGCAGGGACTTTCGTGGGGGTAAAAAGGTTCTCATGAACTCATTTTAGTACCGGCTCTTTTTGGTGTGAACGCGATAAAAGAGGCTAACGTCCACGCTAGCTTCCACGCTAGCTGCTATATGTTTTGCATTGAGGTGATACTTGAGGCTTGATGTGCTACGGTGATATGCGAATTCCGTTTTGCTAATTTGCACACAACCGTGCTCTTATCGACGCTTCCATCCGTCCGTTTTTTAAAACAACATTTCCCACTGTTGTTCACTGTGGTTTGTTGTTGTCTGAAGTCATGAACGTTAGTTGGTGCTCCAGTATAATCGGTACGCCTGAAACTCATCCAGTGAGAAACGTTCCGCGGTGCAAAAATAAGTGCGATTGAAATGCGTTAATTTTTTTAACGCGTTAATTTTTGTGTAATTAATTAATCTTAATTAACGCGTTAAAGTCCCGGCCCTAATATATATATATCATATTATTATCGGTTATCGGTATTGGTCTTGAGAAGCAGGTATCGGTATCGGTTTCAAAAAACCAACATCGTGCATCCCTAATAATAATGTCAATGTTGTGTTAACAGCTTGATCTACTGCCCTCGAGTTGCAATACATGCAGGGTCATACGATATATACACAACTCATACAAAAGCTGTGTCTCTCCAATGATGTCATCAGCACATGGTCTCACACACATCTATGTGGGGTTTCCTGAATGCACAGCATTGAGAGCACATGCACTTATGAACACACACAAACAAAAGCCCTTTTAAAGCTCCAAAAGAGACTGTTGTAAACCCACAAGTGGGGGGGGGGGGGGAGGTGAATGTGTCCAGCGTGATGATGATAAAGTCACAGGGTATGTGTGTATTTGGGGCGAGGCAACCAGTGTGTCCATTACTGGCCCACCAGTGCCAGCAGCG